CACTAAGATGGCTTCTTGTGCTGCAAACGTTCTCATATTATTGCACTCAAATAACTTTTTAAACGGAAACGTCGTTTTTATCGAGAAAAAAATTGTAAGATTTCATCCTACGTCAATTGAACTGAACACTTAAATGGCTTTTTGAGCGTTTTTGATAGCTGCAAACTTGCACAAAATAACGCTTAAATGGCTTCTCGTTAAACGACACTATAGTTGGATATTGCGTGTTATCAAGCTTTTTAATTGGTTCATAGTGGAAGCCATTTGTATGTCACGAAACTAAACTTTTTGCACGGATTATTCATTTATGTTAGATATACAAAATTCAAAGCTTTCAAAAGTTGTAAAGCAAATGATTAAAACAAAAGCAAACGCTTAGACTGCTGTAATAATTCGCTTTGGTAAGTTTTAAAAAGAAGTAAGCAAAAAATACGTATAACTTTCTTAATAGATCTTATTATTTCTCAGTAAAAGATGGATCCTTTTTGTTTTGAAGTTTTACGTCTCAAGCGTGGATAACGATAAAATTGTTAAAAGATAAGAAAAAATTAAAAAGGTAGAAGAAAATTAGATATTAGAAATGCAAATAGAGAAAGACGGCAAAAAAGCCGGTTAAAAAGTTAAACATTGCCGGGAAAAGTCATTGCATCGGAAAATGAGTAAAATATTAATTAAGAAAAAAGATTTCGATTTTAAAGCTAAATTAAATGATAAATATCTTCTTGGAAAATTATTAAAGAACAAGTAAAATAAATGACCGGAAAACGTATCATTGCGTCAGAAAATAAGATAAAAAATTACGATAGAAGATTTCAATTTTTAAAGCTAAATTAAATAATAAATATCTTTTTGGAAATAGTGAATTCTCGTAGAAATGAATTCTACACCCGTTTGTTAGAAGACAGCTTAGCTTACGATAGACGAAAAGGAAACGAAGAAATGGAAGTAAAAAATCTGAAATAATCTGAAATAATCTGAAATAATCTGATATGGTATCAGGAATTCCGAAAGTCTGTAGTTAGCCATATTGGAAATCTTCAAATGTCAAAATTGTTTAGGAAGCAAGATTTCTGCTCGGGAAATTGAAGTGAATCGGATTCCTTTTCGTTTACTATGTAAAGAAATTCTATAGTCTGTAGCTAATTATACTGGAAATGTATCAAATTGAGCTGATACTGGGAACTGATCTTAAATTGTCAAAATTATTTAGGAAGCAAGATTCTTACTCGAGAAATTCAAGTGAATAGGATTCCTTTTCGTTTACTTTGTAGCTTAAGTCTTGTCCGGTCGGCCCTGTTATGAATTAAAGACGGTCTTTAATCAAATCGCCATATATCGGTAGCCTTGGCCTTGATAGTCTTTGTTGGGCAATATGTGCGTATGTGTTTATTCAAACTCTGTTGGAAGTTCCTCATTATTAGCATGAAAAATAAAGGTTTTGTTGAGGGAGGGTTTGGCTTTTTTGACTTAGGGTACCGTTTTCCTAGAGGTCGTACAAGTGTAAATATAATGGAAAAACGAATGAACGAATGAACGAGCGAAAGGATAAATGATTCATGATTCCGTATCACAATACCATACCAATCACCGTTGCAGCAGTTTTTCCAACGGATTTAAAATCTTGTCCCACAAACAACCAAGTATCTGTTTTAAAGAGTACTACAAGGATTATGAGGCAACTTTATTTTATTTTCAAAGGACAGTGAACAATAGGAACAATCCATAATGAAACTTTCGCGATCAGAGTTTTAAATTCCGAGATATTCTAGATAATTTGTTGAGCTTGTGGGACATAGCAACGGTAACTAGGGAGAATGGGAACCATGAATTGTATTCAAGGTAGAAACAATGAATTGCTGAATGAATGGATGAAATGAATGAATTGATAAATGAATGTAATGATAAAAAGTTAATTTATACAYCGTGAAAAGATGAAAAAACTTACTGACGTTCGGACGCTAGTCCTTCTTTTACTCCGACGAAGGACTAGCGTCCGAAACGTCAGTTTTTTCATCTTTTCACGGTGTATAATTTACCCTTTTATCATTACTGTTTCATTAGAAACACCGACGCAGCTCACACTAGTTTTTAGCTAGTTATCTCTTCTGATAATGAATGGATAAATGAATGAATGATTGAAGCAATAAATGAATGAATGGATGAGTGGGTAAATAAGGAATGAATAGACATTAACACTGAAAAAGTAAAAAAAATTCGAAGAAAGAAAAAAGGTAAGAATGCAAACGTAAACAAAGCAACAAGATAGATAAAGAAAAAAGATGGGTCGGAAGGAAGACCAAAAAGGAGAAGAAGGAAAACAGAATAGTATTAACAACAAAAAGAAAAAAAATTATCCAAAAAACGAAACAAATCAAAACAAAACAAAAAAAACCAAAAACAAAAACAAAAAAAACCAAAAACAAAAACAAAAAACAGAAGATGCAAAAAAAATTTTTTTTCGCGAACAAACTCCGAAACATAATCCAGAAATATAAAATACCGTTATCGCGTAGAGAATAGGGTGGCTTTAAAGCACATTGAAAAACCAATGGTCTCTCGATTGGTATGATTAATTGATCAATCATATCCCCCAGTGATTATCGACAAAATGTATTGCTGTTTTGTTTTAAAGAACCAAACTTTCCCCCCTCAATCAATATCCTTTCACCCCGATGATCTCCGTATCCTAATCTTCTCCTCTGAACTAGTATTTTGAATTGAAACTCTTAAATTAATAAAAACGACATCTTTACTTAGCTTAAATTTTAGAATTGGATTTTTTTTTCGTTCGTTGGAGATATTGAGATTTCTCCCTGCTCTAATGATTTTGCATTTTTTCATTTCCGGTGAATACCCAACCGACACGACTCGTGGGGTTAAAAGTTTTTTTCGTTCTTCGTTTTAAAATTAAAAAAACAATGCCCATACAAAACCTTATCTTGCGAAAACAATATTTTATCCAAAAAGAATCGTTTTCGACAACGTTTTAGATCCAACGTTATAAAAAAATTTAAAACACTCATTAATAATTCATAAGCTTATGGTCCAATTGGAGCCACCATACAAGTCACGTGCATGAACCTTTATACCCGATAAAGTTCTCTTCATTAGTATTCAAGTGATTTTATATAAAGACACATGTGTCTTTATATAAAGACCACTCGAATACTATGAGGATGACTTCAT